ATTTTACATGATTTTCTCCATACCTCAATATTGTAAGATATGTGGCCAGTGCATAATATACCGGGTGTTTCCAAAGTTGAGTAATTTATTTTAACTGCTTGTAGGACTCGTCAAAAGGAGTTGATATAAGTACCAAAAATCACCTGTATAAAAGTTGCGTAATCAAAGACATAGTAAAAGATTGAAAATTTTATAAAATAAGAATGGTATTACACAGATTTTTTGATATTGTCAACCACTGACGTGTAAAATCTTGACGTTTTTTGTTTACTACTCGTATCATTTATCAAAATTTGGCAGTATGTCTTTTAATAGTGGATATACTTTCATTTGTCTGATTAGATTGTGCGAAAAATTGGCCCGTGGTAACGGAAACAATGAACTAGTGGACATAATACTATCATACGGAGAGTGCCAACAAAATGCAGCCGCAGCATGCAGGTTGTACGCGGAAAGGTTCCCTTGAGGAAATCATCCGGTCCCACGGATGTTTGAAAACAAAAACACACGAAAGTATCACTTTTTATTTCAATAAGTACTCAAAATGTTGCTCGTTATTGGCCAAACAATGATATAGGCGATGTTCAAATTCCTGACGGACATTTTCAAAAACATGTTGTGGAATATCATAGCAACTTTCGATGATGCGTTGACGAAGTTCATCCAAACTTTCAGGTTGGGGAGTAAACACGATAGATTTCAAATGGCACCATAGAAAAAAGTTTAATGGAGTCAAATCAGGAGATCTAGCATGCCATTCTAAAGGCCCTCTTTGCCCTATCCATTTATCTGGAAACTCGTCGTCTAGCCATTGCCGAACCGGAAGAACATAGTGAGGAGGAGCGCAGTCTTGCTGAAAATATATTTCAGCCTTATCAAGCGTTTCCATCCTCTTTGATTTGGTTTTCAATGGTTTCAGTTATAAGCGGATTGATGGTATTTTCCAAATTTCCATTAATAAACAATGGCTCAATCACTTTGTTTCCTAAAATGCCTGCCCTTACATTAATTTTTAGGGGTACTGGGCATGCCCTTCTACAAAAACATAAGGCTGTTCATTGCTCCAACACCTGCAGTTATGCTTATTAACAAATCCATTTAGATAAAATGTGCATTCATCACTGAAGCAGATATCCTTTACATAAATGGTATTATCATTTATCGCTGGAGTTATTTGTTCACAAAACTCCGATAGTTTGAGTATATTTAGTAACAAGGTCCAAAACATACCAATGCGAAATTATCTTCCCGGATGTCTGGCGTTAAACGTGACGACAGTTTGCCGAGCACATTGATTTTGGGTACCATAAATTAGAATCATTTCGGCTAGTATTTAAACCATTTTTCAAGTAAAATCTGAATCAATAAATTAATTTTCACTATCCCAAGATTGTCACAAAGGTAACTGATAGAAAATTAAATTCCTTCTTTGACTTATCAACAAATAACTAAACAGGTAGGTATAACAATAAATACTGTACACCCAGGATATCTGTGTTGATGAAAAGAATGCGAAAAAAAAAATCGGGTTGTAATTTTGTTGTTGCCACGTCTAACCTTCCGAATTGGTGTTTATGTTGGTAGTTTCCGTTTTAAATTATAAACGAATTCTAGATTTGGCAAACCCTAACGGGCAAAATTTTGAACGCTTATTGAAATAAAAAGTGATATTTTCGTGTTTTTGTTTTCTGTCTGACCAAATTAAGATGAATACACATTTTTCTAATTTTCTTGAAATCCAATCGACTGATTTGAAAAAATTAAACGTTAAAATAAAGGACTTCGGAAGACCTTTCAATCAAGCTCTTACTCGATACCCCTTGTCATTTAAAATTTTCAAAGGAATGACCATGGGGGACGAAGATGAAAGGGGGTGAAGTAGTTTCTGGTTAAAAAGTTGTTCTCCTTAACAAATCTTTTGACGTGTCTCGGAGTTTTTTCTTTTATTCAGTGGTTTCGGATAAGTCCGGGGTGAGAAGTTTTCAAATGAACACCCTGTATAACAAATTTTCAGACTTGAACGTCTAGGAGGGCGCGCGCCCCTCGTCTCTTCTATGTTAAATCCGCCACAGGAAGATTTTTGAACGTTTTTCGGAATACAAGTAGTAGGCTGAATTGGGAACAACGTATTGCACTCCAAAGGTGTACTCCTGGCGTGATAATTGCCACACCGTTATTACCATTCGATTTTGTTGTTCACAAAAGCCTTGCTTATGGACGTTACTAAAGGTAATTTACCTGGATTCATTTTGTTTAGCTATTATAAAGAGTACACTACGTACATCTAGGTGTACTCGAAGCAATGATTCATCTTCATCCAATTGAGAATTTGGCTTTATAGTTGCGTTTTGACTTTTGTCTCTGGAGTCCTGTCAGCAACTCTTTCAGCAATCGTAAAAATGGGCATGCTCTTATCGTAACAGAAATGCGGAGAGAAGATCCTATAAAATTCACAAATCGTAAGAGTTACATTATTATTCCGATTCTAACTATTGCTTCGACTGCGTTCTATACTCGGGAACTGATAAGGAAGAAAGCAGCAAAACACATCGTACGCCTATGCTAACGCGGCATCTTTTCGGACTGACAAACTCCACGCGTGGGTATCCTGCCATATTCAAAAAGATGCCGCATTAGCATGGGCGTGCGATGTCTCTTGCTGCTCTCTTCCTTTTCAGTTCCCGAGTATACCGTAGAGTGTCATACAATAAAAGAGTGGGAGTAAAGGTATCGAAACATCACTGAAGGAGGCGGGAATGTCTGATCCTTTGATAGCTGATGAACAAAGGTTTTCGTATTGAGAACAAAACATTCCTTCTGGGAGATACGCGTTGGTATCCACATAAATATCTTTGCGATGTTACCTTACAATTCTGATATCCAAAACGTACAAGGACCCGGGATATTAGGCTGCTGGGAGCACCAGGAGGCAATCAAGAAAATAAGAGCTTCTATGTTGTAAGTGAGACCCGTTTTAGAGTGTATGATGAATGAGATGGTGGATACTACAGTGTGCGTACAGCACTACTAGGTGTACTCGAAGCATTGATTCATCTTCTGTCTCTGGAATCATGTCAGATGGTCTTTTAACAATAGAAATAATGGGTATACTACCATCGTAACAGAAAGGTGTAGGAAAATCCTATAAAATTCACAAATCGTAAGAGTGACATATTTCGATCTGAAATATTGCTTCGACCATTCTGTACTCGGGAACCGAAAAGAAAGAGATCATCGAAACACATCGTACGCCCATGCTGAAGCGGCATCTTTTTGGATTGACAAAGTGTATGCCGCCATATTAAAAAAAGCCACGTTCGCATGGGCGTGCGATGTCTCTTGGTGCTCTCTTCCTTTTCAGTTCCCAAGTATACCGTAGAATATCCTACAATAAAGGAGTGGGAGTCAAGGTGTCGGAAGTTCACTGAAGGAGGCTGATCCTTAGATAGTTGATAAACAAAGGTGGGTTTGGTTACAAGGTTTTCGGATTCAGAACAAAACATTTTTTCTGGGAGATACGCCTCGGTACCCTAATCAATATCTTTGCGATATTAGCTTGCGATTCTCATATCCAAAACGTACAAGGACCCGTTGGAATGAAAAAACATCCCAGTACGGTTGAGAATTTACAACAAATATACCAAACTTTTCCAAAATATCTCAGTTAATTTTGGTACAAAACTGATTTGTGATTTGCTATTGGTTGATTCTTGTGGCGCTAACTCCTCGATGAGTTGGCAGGCGTGTACACAATCTCTTTGTATGTAAATATTAGTTAATGGTAAAATCTTTATTCATGATTCACAACATTGAAAAACCGATATTAATCGCTGATACCTATCCATTAGATTCAATGAATTAAGCAGCAGGCTCTGAATGTGGTAGCCTACCACTGGTAGGTGTATGAACACAATGAGAAACCGCATATGCACCGCAGGAATGTTGCGTTTTGGGTTTTCAACTGGACAAAAATTATATGACAAAAACTTCGGATTAGATTTGTTTTTGTTTTTTGTATTTTAATAATAAGCTATTTGCGGTACAGCTCTGAAGGACTGTATAAACTCGCAAACTGGTTATCGCAGTTTGTTAGCGATAAGAACAAATCGTTTTACAAGTTGCGGATAAGAGATTGGTCTTTGGATGAGTTTGACATGAACAAACTGGGTTTACTGTAGACGAGCTACTATCGAAGTGTCTATGATAGGTTTCCGTATACAGTCTAAAAAAAATTAACCTTTTTAGCTAGTGATCGTAGTCTGTTTTATAGTGTCGATGGAAGCGTGCCTTCGCGTTTTATATTTAACTTAAGACGCGTTGTAGGTATTACTTTAATAAAAATAAGACAGCGCAAAGCGCCATCTATCATACCAAAATCGACCACTGTGGAAGGCGCATAACTGCTATTAGTTGGAACTGCTAGAGAGTCAGCTGTCTGGTTGACTTTGTGGTCGAACTGACGGAAGCATCATTATTGGTTTATTCAATGGGGTTTGCTATGTTCTCTTGAAACTCTTGTTTTCGAAAAATCAAGAGTTTCAAGTCCTCTACTACTGGTATGCTACCTGGTCCTGATGGGTCCTGGTCCTGGTTGGTCCTGATGGGTCCTGGATGGGTCCTGGTCCTGGTATCACGTTTTGCCCTGTAGTCATTGCTGGTCTAATGCTTGTCTTGCATCTTGGCCTTGAGTGCATCCAGGCGGGTTATGATGGATTGCATCATAGCTAGCAGTCTGTCATCGCCGTGTTGCTTCTGCGCCGTAGTTCCAGTAGCAGTGGCGGCTGCTGGGGCAGAAGTGGACTTAGTTTTCTTCGCTTTTTCAGCGTAAGACGTCCTATTTGAGGTGGATGCTGCTTTGGGGGCAGCAGCAGCTTTCCTCGGGGCCTTACTACATCCTTTGTAGTTTGCTGGGTGTCCTTCTCCGCAAAGGCAGCAGTTGGCATTTCGTTGCCCTGTTGGCGGCGTCGGCAGACTGCAGTTGGTGCTGTTGTGGTCCTCACCACACTTGACGCACCGTTCAGCGAGACGGCAGTTTCGCTGCGTGTGCCCGTACCGCTGGCAGCGGTAGCATTGGCTGGACTCGGTCGATCTCTGTTTCTTCTCGAAGCTGACCGTGAGCATGGCCAGCCTCAGAACCTCCTGCAGCTTTTCCGTCATCCTCGTCTTCACGAGGAAGAGCGGTAGCGGCTGCTTGGTGTTCCTGGTCTTCATCTGTTGAACCTCGGCGTCTGCGATCCCTTGGCTCACTAGATCTTCTCTGATGTCTAGCAGGGTAACTAACTGCCGGTAGTCTGCGGGTGTGTTGGTAAACACCTTCACACTGTTTCCCGCCGTCCTTGTCTTAGAGAATTGGATTCCCTTATTGTTGATCATCCTGCTTAAGGATGACCAATCAGCGGTGCCCTCAATGTTGATTGGTGGAACTCCTGTTCCTGACATGGGGGCTACGATGGTCCTGGCTTCTCTAGGACTCTTCTTCTGGGTGGCAGCTGGCTTCTTTGGCTGCCTGGGTGCATCGTCTTCGTCGGAGGAGGAAACCCTTACTCTTTTCTTCCGCCTGGTGACGACACTGTAGTCCGTGTCGCTCTTGTTGGCTGACGTCTTCTGTTCTTCTGTGTCGTCCTGTTGCTGGCTGTCCACTTCTTGGGCATCCATCTCATTGTCCGATGTGGTCTTCTGGTCCTCGTCTTCTTCTTCTGCTAGGGTCTTCTTCGCCTTGAGGAGCTTCCCTTTGACTTCCTCTATCTCCTGTTGTGCCTGCATGAAAGCTTCTTGCAGGTTCTTCATCTGCTCTGCAAGCATGGTGGAAGCATCTTCTTTCTGCTTTAGCTGACTTGTCAGCTTCTTGATTCTCGCCATCGTAGATAGCAATCGTATCGCGATGAAAATCGCAATAAGATCGCACAGTAAGTCCGGGTGGGTCGCAGTCGCACAAGTGTACACTCGCAACGGCTGCTAGCTCGGAACTGGAGCTGCGATCTCTAGCAGGTCCAACTAATAACAGCCATCCGCTTTACGCAGTGGTTGATTCTGGTGTGATAGATGGCGCTCTGCGCTGTCTTATTTCAATAGAACGTACCTCCGGTATAGAGGATAGTTGCGATGTTTTCGTTCGTTTGTCCAGAAACAAGAGACCAAGCCTAGACCATGCTGGAGAGTAGCCAAGAAGCACGAAACAGCTGTCCATGGTTGGATGTCTTTTTGGTCAGAAAGACGAAAGCATCATGTTTGATTTGGGTCTGCCCAGATAACAGACAAAACCAGGAAGGAAGAAGGGAAGAGAAGAGATAGGAAAGGAAGAGGGAGAGCAAAGAGGACATAGTGCGTTAGTTTGAGGTGTGCCTTAACGTTCTTAACTAGCATCCGGTAATTTTGAATTGATCCTAAAATTAATTTAGTAATTGGTTCTTGTAGAAAAATAGAAATTTTGGTTAGACCTAAAGTCGCACGATTTACCTGACAATTAGGCACATTTTCATTTGACGATGCGGTGGGATTATGTCAGGACTCTTACACTAAATGTTACATTTTTAAACAATATGCGCTTTCTCACACGCCGATCACCCGGCAGGGTTATTACGTAAAAAAACTAAATAATTTTAATGTGTGCCGCTAGTTGATTCCGCGCCTATCAGGTGAGCATGAAGTTAAGGTCAGCTAGTTCAAAGGTGTCTTTTTGTCACTTGTACTTCCTACGTCACTGGGTGGAAACAGGTACACGAAAATGCTTTGATTGCTACAAACCCCGGTAATTCTATGCACCTATTAGATCATCATAGATTTCCCCGTACACCTGCGTAAATACAAAAATAAGGACACATGTGTATTATCTATCAATTATCTTAGCTTCTTTAGTAGAATCCATATTGAGATATCTTGAGTTTTTCAAAACACAACACGGTGATAATGTAGAACTTCACAAATTCTACCATAAAAAACAAATTAGGTAGTTACCACAAACAACTGTCATAGATAGCTAGAGTAGTGTAAGCAAAGTCTTTTTGTTTATGGCCAACTAGTTATTTCAAGTATGACCTTTTAAATACGCGATGAATTAGATCAGTTTCAGTTATTGGATTTTTTGACAGCCTTTCGAGTGTTCCGGACAACTGAACTATTTGTGATACAAAGGCTTTGCAAAATCTTTCCCCTATCCTTCCGACAATCGACAATCTGATAACGTTGCTCTGACTAACCTCGTCACGCGCCACTCCCCAGCCACCTATGTATGTTCGTCTGTCAAGACACCATTCAGATATCTATCAGACCTAGAAGCAGGTGTATCAACGTTAGCCGCGTTTCGTATTTAAAATATTTGACTATCAGTTCTAAAGGAAAATTCACGGGCAAACCCATGACGAGCAAATTATGCCTGTTGGGTTTGTAGAATTACCTGGCTTGAAAGCATATAAATAGGTATACTAAAGCCAAAAAATTGAGAAACTTCAAAAAACACAGTATGCGAGATTATTTTTTTTTTCGCTTTTTTGCCTCTCGCTCTGCTGTCACTGAGCTGATTGTGAAAAAATACAATGCTTTTATGTCCTTGGCAAAGTAGTAACTTTGTGTAATAATTTCATTGAAATCCGAGCGGTACTTTCCAAGTTATACTCGTATAGTTAGCGGTCAGACCCACGGAAACGATTCTGGGCATTTCCGAAATACTTCGCGATTACAATATTTCCTCGCCAGTTGCGTAGGAAGTAAAAAGGAGGTAGTACAGACATCGGTATAGTTATAGTGGATAATGACACTTCTTCACTAGAGCTCTAACATGGCATAAAGTATCATCAAAGTTTTTTCATACTTTTTAAAGTGCTGGAAATAGCATTCTTTATCAGTTATGCAAAAAATAGTCTTCCAGGAACCCACTTCGAGACTCTACTATTTGAAAATTTTCGCCACCCTGAAATATTATCTATTCAAGGTTATATCCTCATGTTTTTAAATTATAATATTACTATAATGGTAACGGTAAGTTTTTTCTTATACGCAAGCCTGTGTTCTTTCTGCAGAGCATATTTTTTATTACGGTTGTGAAACTTGTAGCTGCCATTTTATATAAATTATTCAAAAATATTGCATACGTTGAAGAATTAATGCTATCTTTATCTCATTTCTTAGAAGATATTTCTAATGCTGCTGTAATCTTATATAATATTCTTAATGCCGAATTCTGATGTACGGATTTTCCCAGAAAAATATGGTCAATCGTATGTTCCTTGAAATAGCTAATGTTTGCGGGGTTTTTGTGTTCTCTTAGTTTGGAGCTTGGATTGATGTTGTATACAATATGAACATTAAAGACATTCAAGAGAGAGAAAGAGAAAAATAATAGAAACATTATTTGCCCGTTAGTGACCTGCTAGATCGCCCGAGCTAACGCCAGTTAAATTTCAGTTTATTTACAGAGTAAACTATACTAAGTGACATATAAATCCGAACACCCAGTTTAAATGGTTTAATTTTAATAAAAGTTGGTGAACGTATTTATCTTACTGTAAATAACAAGTGAAAAAATTTTCAGCCTTATCAGTTGGACATTCCGGTTTTTATACTCCTTTTTTTAATTCACTAACGCTCTAAAAATGAATATTTCAGCTGCAGTAAAGGATCAACGTTGGCGGATTTTGGTTCTTGACATCCTTTACGATCGGTTACGATGCCTAGAGTACGGAGACCTGTACGATTTCGTCAACTTAGTGAGTTTGATAGGGGCCGTATAGTGGGACTTCGGGAAGCTGGACTTTCTTTTCGGGCAATTGCAGTTAGAGTGCAAAGAAGTGTAGACACTGTGGTTAGGTGTTGTCAGGCATGGCTTCGAGAAGGCCGTACGCAAAGAGCAAGGTGCACTGGACGTCGCCGTAGAAGAACAGACCGTGAAGATCGCCGCCTAAGATTATTGGCCTTAAGGGACCGTTTCTCCACTACCAGGTCCATTGCAAATGAATGGTTTGCAGAACACGGAAGACCTATTGGCATGCGAAGTGTTTACCGACGAATGAAAAGTTTTGGCTTGTTTTCATACCGGCCACACTGGGTCCTCCCTTTAACTCGAGAACACCGACGTAATCGCCTTGAGTGGTGCAGACAACGGTCACTCTGGGATCAGGAATGGAACAGTATTGTCTTTAGTGACGAGTCTCGATTTTGTTTAGGCATGCACGATGGTCGTGCCAGGGTTAGAAGGCGACGTGGTGAAAGGAGGAATCCACAGTTTTTTGTTGAAAGACATGTTTATCACACTGTTGGAGTTATGGTTTGGGGTGCTATAGATTATGGTTCCAGGTCACCTTTAGTCTTCATCAGAGGTAACATGAACGCGCAGCGTTATATCCACGAAGTTCTAGAACCCCATCTTTTACCCTATCTTGACACCCTGGCAGATCCAACTTTCCAACAAGATAATGCCCGACCACATGTTGCAAGAGTCACAATAGACTTCTTTCAACATAATGATGTCACATTGTTACCATGGCCACCAAGATCTCCCGACATATCCCCAATTGAGCACGTGTGGGATATGATGGGTAGGAGATTGCTCAATTTGCAACGTCCTCCTCAGACTCTAGAAGCACTTCGAGAGGAGTTGGTGGTTGCCTGGAATGAGATACCACAGGAGGACATTGACCACCTGATCAGAAGCATGCCTAGGCGCGTAGCACATCAGGGTGCATCCACACATTATTAAAGGTCAAAGGGCTTTAAAGCAGTGCAATCATTTTGAAATTTTTATCATTTACTTATTATGCTTCATTAAGTACTTATACAAAATTTTATTAAAATAAAACCATTTAAACTGGGTGTTCGGATTTATATGTCACTTAGTATATATAAAATTAGACAACAAAAGCTAGACGATCTACTAAACTGAATTTTGCAAGAATCTGCTTTAAGTGACAGGCATGACTCGTAGACTAGTTTTTTCATTCGTTTAGCTGCTTATCACGAAGTTCAAGGATTACATTTGGAACACATGTGCTAGATTCTACATAAACAATTTTTTCATCAATGAGTCAAAGATGAAAAATGTGACAGGCAAGGAGACTCACGTCAATCAAGCACCCCAAGACGTGAGAGGCAAAGGGACTCACGGGAAGCAGGCACTGCAAATGGGAGCAGTATTTACTACCTCCACGCCTCCTAGATAATGCTAGAAGTAAAAACCTAAACATCAGAAGATTAAATCTGTGATTGGTGACACCAAAAATCCAACCAAGTTGTGTTTCCAAAGTTTTTCAGACATGAAGTAAGAGATGTACTTGTTGATATCACCTGGGTGTGGTCTTCGCCTTAAAAATTATAAGTCAGGGTAAAATCAAAGTTAAATACGTTTCCAGTTACAAAAGAAGTTGATCGTGAAATGAGCCTGA